TTTCTTTGTTGCGTCATTTACTAGTGATTACGATGTCTCGTACGATTTAGACTTTTATATCTAATTTTGTTACGTGATATGTATCGTTTTAACCGACAAAATTATGGAATTACAAAACTCACGAAAATTTGTTGAATCTTATAATTTAATTATAACGTTTAATTATAAAATACAGTTAATTCAACTTTTTAACATTAAAAGCCAGAATATCAAAAACAGCCAGAATATCAAAACCTTGAAAAACGTATTAGAGAGAAATTCTAATATCGTTATATTGATTAAAACTTTGATTAAGGAATATCGAAAAAGAATTTTAATGCATAATGTTATCTAAAATAAAGAATTTCAATTAAAATGCACGTGAGGATGGTATTCAATTCAATTTAAACTTTAAATGTGGCACACAAACTTTGAAATGAAAAAGATTGTATTTTTCTCTTTTTATTATAAAAAATAATTGAAAAGCTTAAAATTTAGCATTTAATTCGATGTGTTGCCGATGTGAAACTATATGCTTTATTAAATCTGTAGAGAAAAATGTAAAAGACGTGCATTTAAAATCAAGTTTAGAGTCAAGTTTTCGCACAATCCAGGCACGGTCTCGTATTATTTGCTCTTTACTCAAGGATCAGGATGTTTTAAAAACAAAATTTAGAATCAATTCAAATAGGTGCAAAAGAGATAATATACAAGGCTAAGCGTACATCTCGCTTAACGAGACTTCGACGAAAACTTCCAACGGAAACTCGCAGACGCCAGCAAAGTTTACTTTGGTCTTGCCGGGCTTTATCCATCAAGTAATCTAACCAATCGATATTAGAAAACTTCTCCTACTCCTCTGTTTTTCAACAGGAAAAACAGAATTGCAGGTAATCTAAAATTTTATTGCCATAAAATTGTAAACTTATGCAAATACCAATATATAAGATTAGAATAAGATTATATATAAGATTTAATCTTTTAAAATATGTGTTTTATAATTTTTGATCCTTTAAAAAATTTTATAATATATTCGACATTTTGAAGCTTTTTCTATAGTTTAAAATTATGGTGAACAATACATATCGTTGTATTATGATTAAAACTTTGATTAAGGAATATCGAAAAAGAATTTTAATGCATAATGTTATTTAAAACAAAGAATTTCAATTAAAATGCACGTGAGGATGGTATTCAATTCAATTTAAACTTTAGATGTGGCACACAAACTTCGAAACGAAAAAGATTGTATTTTTCTCTCTTTATTATAAAAAAATCATTGAAAAACTTAAGTGTAATTTTGATTAATAGGTTTCATAAAACCTTACATAGATAACATGAAACAATAATTGATCGGAAATAAGGAATTTACAATATATTTAAGAAATTAATTTTCTTTTTAATGCTAAGTTTATTATTATAGTTTAATTCATTTACATGACATTTATATGCGCAAGTATGTTCTAAATATATTCTAATTTTCATAATTGTATGAACATGTATAGTTCTTTCCAGGAAAAATAACATGTATTGTGCATGTACAATATAATATCATAATTAAACATTTTCTTAATTGTCTATACGATATAAACGAGCGTTACGAACATGTTAAATATTTCTTGACCCGTTTATATTCGAATTTCTGAAATCTGAATATATTTGTGAAACGAATCCAGCGTTATAATCAAGTAGATCCGAACGAAAAGTAATCGAAAGTTTTCCGTGTAGTACAAGTGGTCGAGTCGAGTATGCTCAAACAATATTGTTTTATCTTCTCTGCACTCGAGTGCCGCCGTATGACACACAAATAAGCACTCGACATACACATGTATTAACGCTCGTTCGTGCATGTAATGGCGTTTCATCTATATCGCACGTTGCAGATTAATTTCACGAATGACCTCAGGCGATCAAATTATATCTCGCGCATCTACTCTGCGTATACAGAATTTATCTTCCATCTCTGTCCTCAATAACCAACTGTCAACTATATATTATTCTTGATAATCAAGATATCAAGTGATAAATGGATTAAAGAAAAAAAGAAAGAAAGTCACGCTTTTGTGATGAAAGTGTCTCTTTATTGCTATTAACCCGTGAAACACTTGTAGGCTGATCATTTCTCTGGCGTGTCTTTCCTTTTTTCGCTTATATCTTGTCGTTGACGTTATCACATTTTTCTTCTTTCGTAATATATTTTTTTCTTGTATTCTATAAACAATATATTATAAAAGATCACATTTATTTCTGTTTGGACAAACACGATCATTTATAATACTTCACTCAAAATAACTAGGGCACGTATCTCAATTAATTGATCGAATTGATGACATTATTATAATGTTCATATGATTTATTTAGACTTATTTATTTAGATTTATATATAATTTTTTTTATCTGTCTTTATGTAATCTGTCTTTATACGAGATATATCTCAGAGCTCTTCGAAGAATCAGCACGTCAACTTCCAATGCTACTTAAATTTGCTAACCTATGGTATTCGACATTCGCGCAAATCAGACTTCTCTTTAAACTTTTAAATTGGAGGTCCCTCGAAACTCCGAAACACGTGTCTACTTCAGAACCTATTCGTCACCTTGTTACACGCGAATCGCCCCGACTTGAGTTCGCGGGCTAAAGTTAGCACGTGCACGATGTGCGGAGCGGCCGGCAATGTGTGCCGTTCAATGCACGACCGGCGGATTTGTTTGTCGCGCGTCTCTATCGGCTTTGTGCGACCGTTCACTGTCGCGTGATAATCCGTAGCCGTGACGTTCTCGCACGGCGCGGGGAAAACTCTCAGGCTTTTTTCGCACCTTTCCTCGCCCCCTCCCCCCCTGTCCTCGATCGTGCCCCGATCGCGCCGCATTTGCTTCCGTCCGGCGCGGTGTGACGACGCCTCTCGTAGCTAACTCGTATTCGTGGTGTGCGTAAAATGCGATCGATGCTACTCGCCATCGGGGAGGAGGATCGCGTGCACCTAGAGGTTCCTACGAGAGTACTATCTTCGATAATGATCCTGGCATATTGAATATTCATTATGTTGATCCTTGATCTCGCATTTAGATGAATTGTAATATCTGATAAGCAGTTCCATGGAATCTTAATGTTATTCATATCTTAGGCTATTTTTATAGCGTACTAGGAAATAATTGGAATGAGGAAAGAGTACTTATTTTTTGATGCAGATTGATGCGATTGATGTTAATTTCTGTTATCGGAAATGATTGTTCGCGATGATTCTAGATACTAGAGCCTGTAATCTATGAAGATCATAGATTATTTTCCGAAGATATCATCGATTTTCTTTTTTTTTTACTGCCGATATCAATTCCGAGTATTTATATTGCGTCTCGATATTAGGTTAGTAGGTACAATGCCGCGTGCAAATTAGAGAGTTTCGCAGCGGTGCAAATCGATGTGAAATTGAACCTATTATTCGCACGACAAACGCTTTCACGTCTGGCTTTGTGCGAGTCCGAGAATTACATGCGGTCTTTCAGAATCCGCTGATGTGCGTTTCACGGGAAGCGACGTGTCCTCTGTTGAACACGTCAATCGCGAGACGACCATTCAAGGAAAATCTATGCGGATCCAGTATACGAATCAATGACTCCCACGTGTCTCTGTTTTTCCTCACGTGTCATTCCGCACGTATCGCAAGCAGGCAGGCCGTTTGCGTCGATAGACAGTTTGCTTTTTCACATTGCAAATCCACGACACTTTTCTCATCCGTCCTCGATCTTTCCTAACGGAATGGAACGTTTAACATTACTTATTTCTAAGTTAACGACGCCATATCAATAAATTCTGATTCGAGATTGACTTGCGAAATATTTAGCTTTAAAGATGAGAGGAAAAAGGCAACGTCCAATGAAATTTTTGCCTAAGACAAATTCGTCCTCAACGAAAAATTCAAAACTGATACGCGAATTTAGAATACCTGTATGACTGATAATATTGGTCGATGATGTTTCTATTCGATTTTCTTAGGTAACACATCTTACGAAAGGAATTTGCCTTTTCACAATGCATAAATATTTATATGACGGTGCTATTAGAACTCACAGAGACGCGCGAACGCCCACACACCCAATTTCGAGACGTTAATGAACGCTCGAGAGAGTAATCGACCTCGTGGATTAAACTGGATCGGGGATTCTCTTGTACATATATGATAAAAATATCTGACCTTTTGGCTCCGCGTTACGGCGAATCCATTTCAGTATCGTATACCAGACGTAAGATATTTGGATGATATAATTGAGTTGTATTTATAGTTTTACATATATTAACAGGGACTTATTTAAACGTTAATTAGTCTGAAGATCATTTTATGTATATTAGTTTATAATTTTGTAAAGTCATAGCTTTTTTGAAATAATTGCCTTTTGTTCCTTCGTGGCTTACATTTGGGAAGTCAATATTAACATGTGCAGAGAATTATAAATGAGATTTGCTGATATTGAATAAGCTTCTGCACTCCAATTTATCTAGAATTATAGTGAGAGAACATCTATAACGTCTACTATAAATCTTTCTAACATTCAACGCTTCAAAAACTGTCACCTACACGTTCTTCTTAACCGCTAGGTACGCCCATTTTGCACGTCAAATTCGTTTTCGCGGTTTCCTCCAATTTGTCCGCGTCAAATTATGGGATTCTGAACTCTTGGTATTTTTATATAATTCGAAGTAGGACACCTTAAAGCAGACTCTTCAGGATTTTTAAATATCTTGAATTGCATACGCCATTTTTACATACATACAGGACGACCATTCAATTTTTAACTATTAAAAATTAAAAAAAATTTTTCTTAACTGTTTTTCAGATATTTAATAATTGTTACAAGTTATCAAAAGTTATACAATGGATTTCTTATTTAAAAATTCCACGAGATAAAGAATAACTTATAATAATAGTTATTCTTTAATGTCATATTTATTTAATTCTTTGTTTAATCTTATTATTTGATAGACGGATATTCTGAAATGTAATGTTTTTCTTTTTTATGTTACAGAATTGCCAGCTGAGGAGGGTGAGTACCGACGAACTTATCGTCCTTTGATGTCGCTTGAAGTAAAACAGGTTTGCGACAAATTGGCATATAAATTACTTTCGTATGGAGCAAAACAAGTTCGTAAATCAGAAACTCATTTTTTTCTTATAACTCGTTTTTACACAGAGTTGTAATTTTACTACATTGTTTCAAACGAGGCACGAATTTATACATTTCCGAAATTCTCGTATATTTCAAAGAATGTCGGTCTTTCGCAACGAAGACTAAGTGCATGTTCGCTATCAAAGTAGGCCAGCTCCCTTGTTCTTGGAGTTCCATAAGCTTCGAGAATTAGTAGTGCACGCATTACATTGCATGCACTTGTGAATGCACATGCTAGCGCAATATATCACTTACTCCACCGGTTGCAGAAGACAAAATCCTTAGAATGGTTTCGGAATTTTCTCAGAATTATTGAGGAACTCTATGGTGTTATCTAATCGATATAAGAAAATGAAAGATAAATGTTCATGAAACGAGAATATTTTTCAATGTATAGGAGATATGATAAATTGGAGATGTATAGGATACGGAGATATGATAAATTTGAAATGTTGAAATTCATGAAAAAAAAATAATGTGGTTTAACGTATAGGAAATAGGATACAAGAGATACGATAAATGTAAAAATGTGGAAAAAAAAATATTCCTTCAACATCCCTTATGTCGAGTTTTTTACGTTTGGACTTTGAAACGTAATATTAATCATAGGTCTTTCAAGCTTGCATCTTTCCACTACTTTTTCTTTCTTGTTAAATATTTTTCTTTTAAACATTGAACTGATAACCTAATCTACAATGTCAAACGATTTTTTTTTTCCATTGTTTTGCCTCTATTCCAAAAGAATCAAGAAAGACAATAGCAAAAAGTAGAATATTGTAGATAACATGATAGCGGAAGGAAATACAATATGGGAGGCTCAAAGGATCCAGGTACTTGCCCCATTTACCGTGTCGAAAGACGTCAGCGCGTAGTGTCGTACGTCGCCTTCGACTCGGCCGTAATTGCATCGGCATTGCACTCGACCCGCGCGGAGGCCCGCGCTATCTTTCCGCCGACCTTCGACGCCGGATCGACCTGACGTAGTTGTGGCTCTCACTCGGTATTACCGTGACGCGAAGTAGCTGAGAAAAAAAAGAGGATCGAGCAATATCCAGAGAGATGAATTTCCATGTTTTTCATGAATATCCACGAATAATTCGCATTGGAATTGACAATGTGAAATCGAGGAAAATTTAGAAGTCAAGTCGGAAGTACAAAAGCTTGATAATTAGTACTAGATCGATCGTGAGCATTATTTATGTCGTTTTATACGCAATTAATATGCATTTTGTTAAAATGGGTAATTCTGTGAAAGTTGGATAGATCAAGTTATTGAAATGTATTTATAATGCGAGACGTAATATTTTGTCAATCAGTATTCTGTCAATATTAAATATTTTCGGCTTTATCGAAGATGAATAAGCGATAAGATAGACCATGACGTCATGAATTAATATCGTTTGAACGCAATAATATCCAAATTTCAACGTGTTCTTTTCTGATAGCGTAGAAGTTTTCAAGAGATATATTTTTCATCAAGTATCACGATACGAAATTTTTTACGAAATTTGGATAGACGTATATTTTTACACACGAATGAATAGATCTGTAAATATTATCTCTGTGAATATCAAAATTGTTATTGAATTAATAATCTTGATCCCCTCGCAATTAGCATTACTCAGCAAATTCAAGCCTCTAGTAAATGGCATCTATTTTCGGTCGATAAATTATGATTTCCAACGAACCATGGATATCTTTATGGACTTGGGCAGTAAACAAAAATTCACGTATAGCAAAAAGGAGAGGAAATACGTGACACATTTTCTCTTGGGGCGAAAGGGATGAAGGAAGGCGCAGTCAGTTAAAGATATATATATATAT